TTGGTAAATTTTCTTCAACATGTCATCAGCAGCAATGACAGGCTTTCCAGAAAGAAGCTGTGTGAATCAGTCACTGATAAACAAAGTAGTAAATAAAAACTCACAAAGACCCCTTTAAAAGGGCTGTATCAATCTGCAACCTTTTCCAACGAGAAGGATAAAGGTAGCAGATCCATGGGAACATCATCAGCTATTGCAAGAGCAGTGCTAGCTCACAAGTTATATTAATAATTTTATTGTGGTGACCAATTATAATATTTCCAACTTTGTTGATGACACTAAATCAGGTGGAAACATAAACTGTAAGGATGATACGAGGAGGTTACGACGACTTGGACACCTGAGCGAATGGATGTGATTATGGCAAAAAGTCAAAGTTATTCACTTGGCTAGAATAAAAACAGAAAGGCAGACTATTTCTTAAATGGTGAGATGTTGGGAAGTGCATGTTTCCAAAGGCACAAGTGTCACTGTTCATGAGTCACTTCATATTAGCATGTAGATGCAGCAAACAATAAGGAAGGAAAATGACATGTCCATCTTCATCATAAGGGGATTTGAGTACTAGTTAAGTGGTCTTGCTGCAGTTGTTTAAAGCTTTGGTAAAATCTCACCTGGTGTTCTGTGTACAATTTTGGTCTCTTTACACTTGGAGGGATATACATGTTATAGTAAGAGTACAGTGGAAGTTTACCAGAATAATCTCTGGGATGTCAGGATTGTTTGATGAGGACAGATTGATGAAGCTGGGTCTGTATTCTGTATTGTTTCAAAGAATGTGAGGCAATTTCATTGAAACTTACAAAATTTTTTACAGGGCATCTCAGGGAGGCTAGGACAAGATACAGGGAAGCTGGTTTCCAGGCTGGTGAGTCTAAAACCAGGGACAACATCACAGGCTAATGGGTAGGCCATTTAACTCAGTTGAAACCGAGATGAACATGAGCTTTTTCACACAGATGGTATTGATGGATTTCTGGATTAACGACATTGAGAGATATGGAGATTGTATGGGAAAATGGCACTGAGGTGGATAATTAGACATGACCTAACTGAATTGTAGACTCCCTACCATGTGGAGGCAGGCCATTCAGCCCAGTGAGTCTACACCGACCCACCGGAGAGCATCCCACCCAGATCCACTCCCCTACCCGATCTCTGTAATCCTGCATTTCTCATGGCTATTACACCTTTGAGGTGACATTTATCAAACACCCTTTCGAAATCTCTTCTTGTTCCCGCACCTCTGATATTCCTCAAAAATTGATCATTGATGGTCTCCAATTTCTCGTCTGCATGCTACCCCTCAGCAACATTATTCTCAAACGCAACCTCAAATTCCATAGGTATGTTGACAACACCCTTTTACACTATATCACCACCACTCCTGAGCCATCACTGTTTCTAAATGATCAAGCTGCTCATCCACTAACCAGCAATGAATAAGGAGAAATTTCCCTCAATCAACTTTTAACAGGACAGAAGCCTATATCCCCATTTACGACCACAAACTCCACTCTCTTGTCTCTCCCATTCTCTCTAGTCTCCTGCAGCCTCAAATCCCTCTGGGCTATCTGTTCTCCACTAATTCCTGTCTCTTGGACATCCCTGTTTGTCATCACTTCATCGTTGCTGCTTGTCCTTTTAGTTGCCTAGGCCCTAACCTCTAGCATTTGATCCCTAAGCCTCTCTACTCCACTGAAGATGCTCCTTAAAACGTACCTTTTTAAACAAGCTTTAAGACATCTGACCAAACATCTCCCTATACAGCTCGTGTCCTGTTATGTTTTAGTGCTTCTTAAGTACACAATTGTCAGCACCATTCACAATTTGTCAGATATCAAGGCAGTCTGTGTCCATTGGCAGCAAAACCTGGACAATATAAGTGACAAGTAACATTTGCATCACGCAAATGTCTGCAGTGGTCATCTGCAACATCTTCCTATGACATTCAATGCCACCACTGTTGCTGAATCTTCCATAATCAATATCCTATGGGTTACCATTGACCTGAAACTGAACTAGATCAGCAATATAAATACTGTGGCTACAAGACCAGGTTAGAGGCTAAGAACCCTGAGGTAAGTAATTCACATTCTGTCTTCTGTATATTGCAACAACTCACTGGGTGTCCTTGGCCAGCACTTTCAAAATCTGTGACCATGGCCACCTTGAAGGAAAAGGGGAGCAGATGCAAGGCAGCACCACTACTTGCAAGTTCCCCTGCAAGCCGCTCACAATTCTGACTGGGAAATATATCACCATGTCTTCAGTGTCACTGAATCAAAATCCTTTAACTTCCTATCAGCATTGTAGGTGTACAAACTCCAGATGGTTTATTGATAGAATTGGTCAAGTGGTTTTAACTGGTAAAATAATGGGCTTATTTTTGTTTTGAAACAAGATTAAATACATTTAATGTTTTATTTCATGCTCTGCCCCAGAATTCATCAAAGTAGACTGAACAAAGTCAGATTTGTGAAGCTGGATTCCCTAGAACGTCAAATGACTCATTCCACATCAGCTCAATGTTGAGCTGGCACTCAAAGTGATTTGTAAACAGCAAATGCACTGGTGTATTTCAGTGCACTGTAGCATTAGCCA